TGAGGTTAGTTGTTTCTTGTCGTTAGTGGTGCTCTTTGTTAACTCGGTAGACACTTTGTCTTGGAACTTGATGGAAGTGGTCTCTACGATGTCATTAGAGGTTGTTGTTGTGCTGGATGAAGGTATAGGGGGCGATGATGTGCTGGTTTGTTGTTGAGGGATTGAGGTTAGTTGCTTCTTGTCGTTAGTGGTGCTCTTTGTTAACTCGGTAGACACTTTGTCTTGGAATTTGATGGAAGTGATCTCTACGATGTCATTATAAGTTGTTATTGTGCTGGATGAAGGTATAGAGGGCGATGATGTGGTGATTTGTTGTTGAGGGATTGAGTTTAGTTGCTTCTTTTCGTTAGTGGTGCTCTTTGTTAACTCGGTAGAGAATTTCATGGAAGTGATCTCTACGATGTCATTATAAGTTGTTGTTGTGCTGGATGAAGGTATAGAGGGCGATGATGTGCTGATTTGTTGTTGAGGGATTGAGTTTAGTTGCTTCTTTTCGTTAGTGGTGCTCTTTGTTAACTCGGTAGAGAATTTGGTGGAAATGGTCTCTACGATGTCTTTAGAGGTTGTTGTTGTGCTGGATGAAGATATAGGGGGCGATGATGTGCTGGTTTGTTGTTGAGGTATTGAGGTTAGCTGCTTCTTGTTGTTAGTGGTGCTCTTTGTTAACTCGGTAGACAATTTGTCTTGGAATTTGACGGAAGTGGTCTCTACGATGTCATTAGAAGTTGTGCTGAATGAAGGTATATGGGGCGATGATGTGCTGGTTTGTTGTTGAGGGACTGATGTTAGTTGCTTCTTATCGTTCGTAGTGCTCTTTGTTAATTCGGTAGAGAAATCGTCTTTGCATTTGATGGAAGTGGTCTCTATGATGTCATTAGAGGTTGTTGTTGTGTTGGATGAAGGTATAGGGGGCGATGATGTGCTGGTTTTGACCTGGTTGTTTGACATCTGCCGAAGAGATATGAAATAATTAGTAACAAGTTTCATAAAATATCAGCAAATGATAAGGTATATTATCATCTCATCTTGATAACATATTTGATTTCTTCAGAAAATGACGTCACCTCAACAGTTATAGAACAATATATAAACATTTGATTTACTTTGACGCCTTTTTTACTAACGTTCTCTTTTTAGAGATGTCGGTTTCGTCAACACTGCAACAAACCGACGAGCATTTGAAAATATTTGTTATTTTGCGTTATTTTGATTTTATGTTTTAAAACAGAATAGTTTTTCTTATCATTTTACTCTAGTTAAAAATCTTTGATGCATATCAAAAAATCTGATTTATAGAAAAGTGTCACTTTTATTTCAAATATAGTGGTTTGGAGTTCTGTACACGTTTACTATATTAACGCACATACTCAGGATTTTAACTAGCAGCTGTAGCTATTGGAACATATTGGCAACTAATTACTGATTAGAGGCAACTTCAGACCATATGATGAAATCAGTGACAGTTTCAAATTAATGTTAAACTCGACATCTTTGTCAGCAATTAGCGAAGATGGGGAAATTTCATTTCGGGTACATTGCGCTACTGTATATTAAAAGTAAAAAACGAAAACTACGTTTTTTAGCACAATGAAAGATACAGTCTTTATTAGCTGACTCCACCGGCTAGTTTCAGCTAAAACAACTAATCTTCCATTGTGATAAAGCAGGTATGTTGTTTATTTTAAGAAACTGGAGTACTTAAAGGAATGCAAAGCTTCAGATCGACAGTAAACTAAAACTGAGTAATAAGTCTTACAGAAGTAACTAAACTCAATTTTGGATCAAAAAGTTATAAGACTTTCAATTTTTACTAAACATTAGCAGCTACACTTACTGACATTTAAAACGTTTATGTGAAGTAAAACGGACTGAAAAACCCCGTAGATACTTATTACTTAGAATAAAGTTGTGTCCATCTAAACAATAACAGCCAGACTTACTGACATTAAAAGCGTTTAGTATTTATAGTAAGGTTGTGTCAACCTAAACAATAACAGCCAGACTTACTGATATTAAAAACGTTTATTACTTAACACAACATAATGTTTTGGGGCAACAAAGGACCTATTGGTCCATCTCGGCTGTCCCATCTTCTAAACTAAATTTAAACTATCAAATGAATAAGTTAAAAAAAATCTTAAAGCCAACCCTTATTCTTATATCTATCAAACTTAGTTTTAAACTCACTTAAATTTACTGCATCCACAACATCCAAAGGCAACCCAATCCAGAGGCCAACCACCCTTCTTAATAGAAGATGACTTCTATTTTGTCAAAATTTATATTTGTGTCCCCTAATCCTACTATTCTCGCCGTTAAGTATAAAAAATGATGATGCATAAACACTATCAATTCCATTTACAATTTTAAACATCTCAATCAAATCCCCTCTAACTCTTCTTTTTTCAAGAGAAAACAATTTCAAAGATCTTAATCTCTCCTCATACCATAAACTCTCCATCCCAAGCACCTAAGACTGAACACAGTACTCCAAATTTAGCCTAACTAGTGACCTATACAACAACATTTTAACCTATTTAGACTTGTTATCAATATTTCTGTAGATACAACCTAAAATCCCATTTCCCCTACCACTAACAACAGCACACTGCTTGGATGGCTTCAGAAACTGATCAACCATTACATCAAGATCCTTTTCTTTATTTACACTGTTAAGGTTATTCTCATTCAAATTATACTTATAATTCAAATTTTGATAACTCACATGAATGATCTTGCATTTATTATAATTAAAACCCATCTGCCATTTATTTGTTCAACTCACTAAATGATCTAAATCTTTTTGTAAATCAGCAACATCCTCTTCACAGCTAGCAACACCCAAGATCTTGATATCATCAGCAAATATAAGTAATTTATTGGCCATTCCTTCATCTATGTATTTATGTAAATCATAAAGAGCAAAGGTCCTAAGACTGAGCTCTGATGTACCACACTTGTGACATTAATCCAGTGTGACTGAACTCCATTTATAACAACCCTCTGCTTTCTTCCATCCAGCCACTTTTCTATCCAGTTAGCTACCTTATCCCCTTATAGTAAGGTTTTGTTTCCATAAACAATAACAGCCAGATTTACTGACATTAAAGTACTTACTGAAGGTTGTGTCGCCTTTATAAACGAACATACAATAGTGAATTATATTCACAAACATAAAAATAGTGTATTATTTTCACAAAAGTGCAACAGGGATTCGTTCTCAGACACAAAGAACACTTGATCGCTTTCACAAATTTACAACTATGTAACGTTTTTCTCATTTCACTTCTAAACTATCACTTCATCGGCCTTAACAGCAATAGAATTTGCCACAACGATGTCACATTGTCTGAACCTTAAGAAAAGAAAATACATTTTTGGAATTTTATAAACGACGGAAAATTCCCTATTAAAGATAGTGTTTCATTCAAAAGTTTTTATAGCTATGATCTCTCTTCATGGAACAGCAGACAGTCTGGAACTAACGTGAAACTATTAATAGAGCTCGAACAGATCGATTGCTTTCGAAAGATAGTTTTCGTCAATGCAGGGAACCGCGACACGACTAAGAAAATGCGTCTTATTCTCTGGAACAAGTAGAGGATGTATACACCGAGTGTAGTAGCATTTATTTTTCAGAATAGGGCTAATAGTGATACGAGACGTACAAAACACGTTCTACGGTAAGATCTACATTGTTAGGAGACTTATATCAAGTGTAGTGTACAATGTAGACGACACCAAGTATAATATTTAGTTTCCAGGATTGGATCTTACACCGCTAGGAGAATTACACCACGTGTAGTGCTAAGATCTTAGAGTACAATGCAGACAATAGGAGACGTGCATCAAGTATAGACTTTAGTTTCCAGGATTGGATCTACACAGCTAGGAGAATTACACCACGTGTAGTGCTAAGATCTTAGAGTACAATGCAGACAATAGGAGACGTGCATCAAGT